CAAATGTAGATATAAAATCAGAAATACGTTCTAATCAGTTGTGTATTTGTGAAGTCTTTGAAAATGTAATAAGTTTTACGAAACGCGCCCGTGTCGCGTCAGACTAGAAATAAAAATGAATTTTGGAGAAGTGATTTTTGATTTACCTCCAACAGTGAAGCGTAATGTACGAAAGATTGAGAAAATTCATGTTAGAATTATTAATCTTACTTTTTCGGTCATATTTAATAATATATGTCTACAGGAAAGACTGCTACCAAAATATACTATATATATATATATATATATATATATATATATATATATATATATATATATATATATATATATATATATATATATATATATATATATATATATATATATATATATATATATATATATATATATATATGGGAGGAGAGGAAAATATTGTAGTGTTCAGTGAGATTCCAGAAGGTCTTCTCTGAATACTCTTAATTTTCTTCTCCGAGACTTTGGGTCCCGACAATTGCTGTCGGAAAATCCGACACCATTTAATAATCATACAGATAATAGCTGTGTTGTATAAACAAGTTACCCATAGAAAACGTAACTTGTAGTGGAATTACCGTCTATAGAAAACGGGATATCATCACCACATACTATTATAATTCACCAGCTATTCTGCTGGGAATTATTCTTAAATACATTAGTCTTTGGACTTTACCATCATAAAACATCTCATATAATTTAACTTAATTATCAATATTAAAGTAGAGTAAATGTGACCCTTCTATCACCTTTGGAAATCTGGACAATGTAAGCCAGGCGTCAGTGGGGAAGGAGGGCAGCCATTGTTGTGTCACCTCCGAGACGTGTGGAGCAAATTTGGCTCCTATCATATCTGGACAATGTCGGCCAGGCGTCAATAGTATGGAGTGTTAGATGCAGCCATTGTTTATACTAGACCAGAGGCTCACGGGAGCAAATTCGGCTCCTGTTAAATTTACTTGGACGTAGTGTTATGGAAACCAAAGGTGTACCATTGTCAACACGCTGTCTACAAATTCAAGTTAAGTGTCTATCCGAAACCCATTATCTATCATTAGTGGCCATTAATGTCATTGGGTAGGGTTAGCCGGTTAGAACGCGAAATTGCCTCATACTAAAGGTAATTAAGCCAGGTCTTTATTGTTCCATGTACTGTATAGTGTTTTCTCTGATATAGCTTGTCATATATAGGATTCTGGCTTCACAGCTAGCGCACTTTTGACAGGTCAAGACGAGGAAGCAAGATTTGTGCACCAGTTACTGGGTGATGGAAGCTACCTCAAAGAGGATAATTTGGTGTCTACACCCTAGTTATACCTGGTGGACTAACCTGCTGTACTATAAGATAAGGAACCATTTCAATGTATGTAGTTAATACTGTAGTTTGATTGGCTGCATATATATAAATATAACCCCCCTAATGTGTAGAGGATCGATTTGTGAGATTAAGAGATTATTGCAGAAATACAGTCCACTTATCATTATACAAATTGCTATCGATGTATACAAATTAACGTAAATATAAATTCATATAAATTAAATAAATATAAATCTCACAGGTCGGTTCCCACATTATTTGGTCATCTTCGAACCGGATGACGGATTATTTGATTCTTTGAACCCACATTTGGTCATCTTAGTACCGGATGAACCAGTTAACCAGTGGATTCATTAAACAACTAGTGCAGTGTGATTTAAACAAAGCCAGTCATGACGGCGGCGTTGACTGGTGGGAGTTCACGAGCCCCGCTCAGTTCAGATCAGCCTTAGTCAGCGGTTTCATGTACACCCACAGATTTGGTGGAGTGTTATTCTGTGAAATGACAGCGCCAATATAGAAGCCAGCCAAATTAGTGACTTTGTCTTCGCGATATTGTTCACGGATTTCGTGGTGTTACATTTCGTGAGAGATTATCTACGAATTTTGTGGAGTTTATTTCGCGAGGTCACTAATAATATTTAATACTTCTTGATAATATTAGAAGTTTCATAGAGGCTAATTAAGAGGCTATTATCAATAATTGTGTATATTATTTCTCCAAAATAGAGAATTATTTAATATATATTGCACTAGTGATCACAGTATAATATTTACTAATTGCCAACCCACAACAGGGTAGGATATGACTAGTTGAACTATTATCGTTCATCCTAGTCCCATTATTACCATAGTCAGTTATACTATATTGAATAACCTAACACCATTAATGAATGGTCCAGACCCTATTTTGGGTGTAATTTTTATCAACTCGAATTGAGTTGTATATATAATAATTTACTTATGATCATTACACCTTTGAGTGATTAATTAGTGTCTCTACCATCCTAGGGTGATATAGAAGAGCTAACCTAAAGGTACTTCCAGTGACACTGGTTTATCACTCAAATCATTAGTGTGTATGATTGTATATATATAATGTGTATTAATTTTAAGTGCTAACCTCTAGTAGAGGTAGGATTATTGCCTAGTGAGTGTAGAATTTACCCTAGGCTACCATTAGTGTTTGTTCAGTATTATGAACAGCCCAAGTACAAGCCCCACAAGGCTTCACCAACTAGCCAGGATGGATAATGCAGGGAGAATGAAAAGAACCCTTGCAGGTCTTAAAGGCCACTTAACAAGACAGATCAAGAAATGTGAAGATTTGTCACAACAATCTCAAGTTGATTATGCTGACCTGGAAAGCTATTATCAAGCAGCTGCAGGTAAATTTGAGCAAATCAAATGCCAAATGGCTGTCCTTGTGGGGACAGACTACTACCATCAATTCATTGGTAGCCCTACTAAATATCAGGGCATAACCATGTTAAACTCTGCAGGAGGTAAATTACTCTCAGGCCCAGTATCAAGCCTGAGGAGACCTATGCCTGCAGATAAACAATACCAGTAGAAACCTAAATTTGTCAGCTGATTATATTTCTCCAGTAGCATTATACTAAGGAGATTACAGCTGACTATAGTAACAGAGGTTGATGTTAGTATCATCATTTAAAGCTGGAGATGAGTTCATGAGGCCTCAGTGGCAAATCAGTGAACAGTAGCCTAAAACAGCTACAAGTCACTGCGACCAATGTCACTGAACCCACTGCAGTCTCAGAACCATACTTTACTTTAATGATGAGCTATTCAATCTTCTGAATCAATTAACTAAATTAAACCCCAATAAATTTGATGACTGATTTGATACATTTATTATTTAATCAAGATGTATTCCATGGGCCTCAGTGTTTATATATCAGTGACTAGTTACCTGAACAAACTTCAAGTTATATCTAATGTCACTGATCTCACTGCAGTCCCTGAATCATACTTGACTGTAGTACTTGATCATATTCAGTCTTCTGGGTTAAATAATATGTAATTAGGCTTGAATATTAGCCTTTCAAGAGTTGACAGGGAAATGAAATTGCATTAGACTTCTAACCCCTGCAACTCTAGTACGGGACATCCGTCCTGTACGAACAGACGCACAAATGTGTGATTACTAACTACTAGCATCAAATTAATCTAATAATTCGAAGGAGGAGTATCGGTGTTCGTCTGTTCTAAGTAGGACTTCGACCTGTGAGCAGCCCCCTGGGGAATTATGTCGGAAAATCCGACACTATTTAATAATCATACAAATAGCTGTGTTGTATAAACAAGTTACCCATAGAAAACGTAACTTGTAGTGGAATTACCGTCTATAGAAAACGGGATATCATCACCACATACTATTATAATTCACCAGCTATTCTGCTGGGAATTATTCTTAAATACATTAGTCTTTGGACTTTACCATCATAAAACATCTCATATAAATTAACTTAATTATCAATATTAAAGTAGAGTAAATGTGACCCTTCTATCACCTTTGGAAATCTGGACAATGTAAGCCAGGCGTCAGTGAGGAAGGAGGGCAGCCATTGTTGTGTCACCTCCGAGACGTGTGGAGCAAATTTGGCTCCTATCATATCTGGACAATATCGGCCAGGCGTCAATAGTATGGAGTGTTAGATGCAGCCATTGTTTATACTAGACCAGAGGCTCACGGGAGCAAATTCGGCTCCTGTTAAATTTACTTGGACGTAGTGTTATGGAAACCAAAGGTGTACCATTGTCAACACGCTGTCTACAAATTCAAGTTAAGTGTCTATCCGAAACCCATTATCTATCATTAGTGGCCATTAATGTCATTGGGTAGGGTTAGCCGGTTAGAACGCGAAATCGCCTCATACTAAAGGTAATTAAGCCAGGTCTTTATTGTTCCATGTACTGTATAGTGTTTTCTCTGATATAGCTTGTCATATATAGGATTCTGGCTTCACAGCTAGCGCACTTTTGACAGGTCAAGACGAGGAAGCAAGATTTGTGCACCAGTTACTGGGTGATGGAAGCTACCTCAAAGAGGATAATTTGGTGTCTACACCCTAGTTATACCTGGTGGACTAACCTGCTGTACTATAAGATAAGGAACCACTTCAATGTATGTAGTTAATACTGTAGTTTGATTGGCTGCATATATATAAATATAACTCCCCTAATGTGTAGAGGATCGATTTGTGAGATTAAGAGATTATTGCAGAAATACAGTCCACTTATCATTATACAAATTGCTATCGAAGTATACAAATTAACGTAAATATAAATTCATATAAATTAAATAAATATAAATCTCACAGGTCGGTTCCCACAATTGCACCAGAGGTGGTACCCTCACAACTTAAAAAAAAAGTGTGTATTAGCTGGTTATTGATTGTTGGTCTAGATTTCTTGATATGCAGGGCTTCACTGTCTTCTAATCTTCTATTGTCCTTGTATCTATCAATTACTTCAGTGTTGGTCGTCAAAATATCGCTGGTGATCGTTTCGTTATGTGTGTGATTATGTGTTCCTTGATGGAGCCCTGTTTTTTTGTGCATTGTTAAACGTCTTAAGAGAGAGACGTTGTTGAGTTGCCTATATAGTGATTTCGTATAACTTTTGGTAAAATCCTGCACGGACTTACCTTGAGAACTTGTCTGGGAAGAATGGGAGGCGGGAAGTGAGGGCGAGGCCTCGTTGGGGCGTCCAGGAGGCCACCCTCAATGCATGGGCGCCCAGGGGACTGTACGGCACCTGCAGGTACACCCCGCACCTGTATGAAGATAATTAGTGATCAGTAAGTATATTGTTATTATCTCATATTATTAGTAATCTGAAATAAATCTTCACTGTCCATATAATCAGGAGATTTTATTTCAACATTAAGTAACTTATATGATGGATGACAAGTAGGAGTACCTGATACTCTGGAGCGATTCTTCATATATGATCAACATGGAGTTGGTGTTGGAGAGGAGCGTGTGGAGGTGGTGCAGGTGGTGGAGGGGGAGGCGGGTGACGACCAGGAGCCTCGTCGACCACACCAGGAGGCGGCCCTTGAGGGACCACTGGGCGAAGGTGGCGAGGAAGGTGAGGTCGTCGCTCACCACCACCACCGTCACGCACCACGACACCTGCCGCAGCTGTGAACGACAACACGGTACACGTTAGTAGTGAGATTTATGACATAAAGCATGCAGTCCACCTGGCCATAGTGAGATTTATGACATAAAGCATGCGGTCTACCTGGCTGTAGTGAGATTTATGACGTAAAGCATGCGGTCCACCTGGCTGTAGTGAGATTTATGACGTAAAGCATGCGGTCCACCTAGCCAGCTAGTGCAAGATGAGGTGCATCAGTTGGCCAGGTGGATAAGGCCATGCTTTAGGTATGAGGGGCCACGGCATGAAATGAGTTGGTTTAGCTCCACCCCCTTGGAGATAGTGAGAGCCAATGGGTTGTATGGAGGAGGGGGATGAGGGAGGAGTGATGTGGAAGAGGAATTCAGGAAAGTGGAAGAGAAGTAGTAAAAGGTGAAAAAAAAACAATGTGTAGTAAACCCCTCATTTCAATAGGATGTGCGCGCCTCACTCATGTTGTGAGGGCCGGCGACGAGTCAGGTGAAGAGGGAGGTGGGGACTCCGAGGTGATTGTGTGAACCAATTAGGAGGATTAAGCCCTTCACTTTTTGCTCCTCAGTGTGTGTATGGAGAAGGGGTGGGAGTTCCCAGCAGGAGAGATAGGATACTCATTCCTTGCTTTCAGGGGTGGGGGACACTCAGACAGACAGACAGAGAACAATTACATGCAGCGTGTGTTTAGAAGGAAAAATATTTTTCATCTCACGTAAATGGTAGGAATCTTCAGTGATGGGATCAGCCATTCAGCTGGGCTAAACGGACGTGTTCTCCTCTCACAACACCTCCTTAAGAGGTAACGAGGCGATGAGCGGGGAGAGAGAGACACATCCGCTCCCCACGATGTCCACCTCTGCACTAAATGACAGGCTGCTTAACATACTGTAAAAAGCTTACCACGCAGGCACCAAGGCTGCGGTTGAGAGCTGTCCAACCACTGGTGATTGATGTGATTACTTAATGGATCGCCGTCATACCCACTGCTGCTTAATTAGTGAGTCCTTGCCTGCTATGGCACTGTAGGAGGTTGCGGTTAGTCCTGGCTCGTACCTAAACAAAGAGGAATGTGTGTTCTCTGCAGTCGCCCGCATCACCTATATCTGTCTAAGCAAGCAGACGTCCACACCGACACTGTCTCCTCCTCTCTTACACCCCTCCAAACACATACTGATTAGGGGAAGTATACACACTTATATAATTTTATTCTTTTACGCATAAACAGTTTTAACAGATAAAACACATACTGAGTACACATTTTCCTACAAATTAATTGAAACATTCAGCTCTCTCTCTCAATCACATTTTGAGCAGTGGGTTGTCTTTCTGGGTAGTCCTCTCACAGCAGACTGGTCGTTGGTCTTTCTTGAACAGTAGTCTGTCTGGCCTAACCCGTTCTCACATATTGAACAGTGAACTATTACACTGCATGTCTACCAGCAAACACCACCTGAAGAATTTTTTTTTATAACTTGCTGAAAAAAATCTCTCTCTCCATCACAGATGACAATATTATTATTATTATTATTATTATTATTATTATTATTATTATTATTATTATTATTATTATTATTATTATTATTATTATTATTATCACACATATACCTCTACTTACCATATTATTAAGCTAGTCAATTTCTTCTCATAATTTCTCACAGTTTTCATATTCATTTAAGCAGAAAGTTTGCTTGCATGGTGGCATTTTCATCATTGCATAAACAAATCTCAGCACTTTTGCATCATTCTCACGAAATTGTCCATATTTAAATGTTTCATCAAAGTGTAGCAAGGTTTCCTCCAAGGATAGATGGGAAAGATGATATACAAAATAAACAGCATAATTTCCACAAACGTAGCTGTTCAAACTTTGTAATCTTCACTTAATGTTATATAGCTCGTAATCATTGAAGTATGACTTAAACTCCTCCAAATAGGTTGAATACGTTCCTTTATTAGGATTAGCATAACTGTCGAGTATAACAATCTTGCTTCGATCTTTAATCTTATTATTATTATTATCAATATAGAATGTTATCCAATGCTCCATTTTATTACTTGATCCTGAGTCTAGAGTATTTATTACGAACACCACAGGATGTCTATGTATCATTTTCACAATCTTCCTCACATCATTAGCTAGGAAGCATCCTAGACAATCCACCATTGCACCTAAATTACTCCTATTTGCCTAATTTATTTCCAAACAATTCATATGTATCCTCTTGTTTCGCAAATCTGAGTTAATACACCTGTTGTGGCTCCATAAACTAGTATGACTTGATTTCAATCCACTCCTTGTTTAAATTCCAAAGCGATCCTTAAATTACCGCTCTTTTCAAGTTGGATGGTATCGTCTATATCCTCTGGTTGTAAATTAAAGGCGAGTATAGTTTCACCATCTGCATATGTATCATAAGTCAGTACGTTGTCTTTATCGAACCCTGAGGCCAGTAATGGTGTATAATGTGACTTGGCACAGTTATTGGGAAAGTCACACCCGATATTAATAACATTAGTACTCTTCTGAGATATTAATACCTTACTCAACCCACAGTTTTTCAAATAAAGAGGGTTACGATTATACGCTCCAGACACAGCCTCGATGTCGAGAATCACCATATATAGACGTTCTGGTATAACTGTGCCTCAAGGATGGTTTAAAGTTATCGAGCGCTGACCTGTACCCAGTGTGTAAGTTTTATATAAAGTTTTATTGAAAGAATACGTGATAGGAGAACTCTTCTGCACCATAGCCTTATTAATGGCTATTAAATTATATGGACAGGGTATTACCCGATTTCTCCACAGATGCACGGTGTTAATATTATATTTAAAATTAGCTTTTCCGTTATTGCTGAGTACAACCCATTTATCGGGCTATAGTTCAAGCTTCACTCTAATGTTTACATTGTTCAAAACATATTCACTAACAGATGTGACATCCAGCATTAGTTTGAAGCATGTATTAACGCCGTTTGCTGTAGCAGCCATCATACGTCTCTTCTGTTCCGCCTTTGAATTAGTGAAATATGCTGCTTCAATACTGCTAGGATCAACTCCATTAAAAAAGCACGATAGTTTATCATACCGCCCAACCTTACATTCTGAAATTGTAGTTAACAGCTTTATGTTTGACCATAATGAAAATAAAGAACTCGTTCATACTACTGTTTCACTAGAATACACAACATCTGACTGAATAGCGTTTGTGACAATCCGTTCACTACCGAAATGTTTTTAGTATTTACTATAGAGGGTGTTTCATCTTCTTCAGTCAAATCTATAAACAGCTCCAAAGTCATAGATGATAATGACCATTCACACCCTTTATGATGAATTCCAGATAAGTATCTGTACACTTATCATGCATCCCCGAATTCACAGACAATATATCCACTGTTTGTCTGCTTACAATAGTTGATTCCACAAATCGAGGAGAAAATAATTTACGAGAAACCACACTAACAGCAGCTGTATAGTGATCTAATGGCATCTGAAGCCCCACAGCGTTATACCCGACCATGTTCTCGCTTTAAACATTTCAACAGTTGTGAACACAAGCTGCCCTGCAGCCTATCCTAATACTAATGTACCAATGTTATACTGAAATATACATATATAAATATCGTGGCCTAACTAGCCTAATCAACAAGGGGTAATGGGAGGGAAAAATGATCTGCCTGCAACATTCCAGGCTCACGACGCCTGCCCCTCGATGGTGTGAGGTTTCCACGGTTCCTGTGTTGGTTCTTGATCCAGTAACGCGTTGCAAGACCTCAGGTGTCGTGAAGCTTCCGCGTCCTCGCCGTGCCGTTCTCAAAGTTCAGATATTTCAAATCCTGGTCCAACCAGTGGTCACTGAGCCAGTTACTGTCCACACACGTTCCTTCCACAAAGGCGTCGCTCCTTGACCTAGGAACGGTGACTTCACTCCATCGTTCTCAGCGGATGTGATCCGGTCACTGCAAGCCTGCTAGCCATACCATCCAGACCCTCGGGCGTCAGGCGGCGACCTCCAGCATCGCCGCCGACCGATTCCTGAAGTTTTGGAACTTCTTGGCCCAATAAACTTGTTTTTTCTTGCTTCCAAGAAGCACAGAGTCTCCAGTAATAATGGAAGGCTGCGATGGCTGCCTATGTTCCACTGAAAGAGACTCTCAGAGCCTCCAACCTCGAGAGCTGATCGACGCACAACCTCTCGTGTCCGCTTAACTCACCTAATTGTGCTTGCGGAGCTTGAGCTCTGGCTCTTTGGTCCCGCCTCTCAACCGTCAATCAACAGGTGTACAGGTTCCTGAGCCTACTGGGCTCTATCATATCTACACTTGAAACTGTGTATGGAGTCAGCCTCCATCACATCCCTTCCTAATGCATTCCATTTGTCAATCACTCTGACACTAAAAAAGTTCTTTCTAATATCTCTGTGGCTCATTTGGGCACTCAGTTTCCACCTGTGTCCCCTAGTGCGTGTCCCCCTTGTGTTAAATAGCCTCTCTTTATCTACCCTATCGATTTCCTTGAGAATCTTGAATGTGGTGATCATGTCCCCCCTAACTGTTCTGTCTTCCAAAGAAGTGAGGTTTAATTCTCCTAGTCTCTCCTCGTAGCTCATACCCCTTAGTTCGGGTACTAGTCTGGTTGCAAACCTTTGAACCTTTTCCAGTTTAGTCTTATGCTTGACTAGATATGGACTCCATGCTGGAGCCGCATACTCCAGGATTGGTCTGACATATGTGGTATATAATGTTCTGAAAGATTCCTTACACAAGTTTCTAGAACCCGTTCTTATGTTAGCCAACCTGGCATATGCCGCTGATGTTATCCTCTTTATATGAGCTTCAGAGGACAGGTCTGGCGTGATATCAACCCCCAGGTCTTTTTCTCTCTCTGACTCTTGTAGTATTTCATCTCCCAAATGATACCTTGTATCTGGTCTCCCGCTCCCTACACCTATCTTCATTACATTACATTTGCTTGGGTTAAACTCTAACAACCATTCCTGCAGCTTGTCCAGGTCTTCTTGAAGCCTCAAGCTGTCCTCCTCTGTCTTAATCCTTCTCATAATTTTGGCGTTGTCAGCAAACCTTGTGAGGAATGAGTCTATACCCTCTGGGAGATCATTTACGTATATCAGAAACAGGATAGGTCCGAGTACAGAGCCCTGTGGGACTCCACTGGTGACTTCACGCCAATCTGAGGACTCACCCCTCACTGTAACTCTCTGCTTCGTATTGCTTAGATATTGCCTTTTCCACTGGAGCCCTTCCAGTTACTCCTGCCTGTTTCTCCAGCTTATGCCTCAGCCTTTTATGGGGTACTGTGTCAAAGGCTTTCAGACAGTTTTAAAAAATGCAGTCCGCCCATCCTTCTCTTTCTTGCTTAATCTTTGTCTCATGATCGTAGAATTCTATTAAGCCTGTAAGACAAGATTTACCCTCCCTGAACCCATGTTGATGAGTTGTCACGATGTCCCTTCTCTCCAGATGTGTTACTAGGTTTTTTCACAATCTTCTCCATCACCTTGCATGGTATACAAGTCAAACACACTGGCGTGTAGTTCATTGTCTCTTGCCTATCGCTCTTTTTGTATATTGAGACCACATTCGCTGTCTTTCATATTTCTGGTAGGTCTCCCGTTTCCAGTGATCTACTAATCACAATGGAGAGTGGCAAACAAAGAACTCCTGTGTTGGAAATTTCCAACACTAATAAACTACTATTGTATTATAATAAATCATTATTATTATATACTAACTACAGTAGTCACTAAATTTACTAACAGTAGTGTCAACATAAACTACCCACTGCATCTGCGTATTAATGCTAGAGTTCTCACGAAATAGAGCAGCAACATTGCGTCATATAATGTCTAGTTAAACACATTTATAACCAATGTGTTAGAGAATTGAATGTGGTTCTCTAAAATCATCAGTATTCCGTGTAATAATTACTTACGGATAATATAACTCCCAATAATCTTAAATCGAGAGTTATTAGTTAAATTGTTCTGTAGTAACATTTCCTTCAGTCTCGCACGAATGTCATAGAGAGAGATAAAATCTTCTCCATTTCTCGTTTAACACCATAAAACGAGAATACGATAATATTTAAACCCCTATAATTGCATCCCAGTCCTCATTAACGTATTTCATCCATAATCGTGCGGAAAAGAATCATTCGTGATTAATAATTTCTGTGGTGAATGCGAGAGCCGGGTTGGGGGAGGCGGCGACGCCATTGTAGGGAGAGCGTGCTTGGACAGCGTACGAGTGAGGAGGGTCCTGGCGTGAAGAGTGGTGAGACACGTGGCGATTGGGAGTTATCAGCAAGAATTACACTGATACCCAACTAATAGTGAATAATTATTCCTCCACGTGCTCTATAGTGCCCAGGCAGCCAATAACGCGTCTACAATTAAAGCCAAAACGCACAAATACACGTACAACGCAGTGAACATCTGGGACTGGCAGACGCGTTATCGGCAGACTTCAGTATTACATACACTCACGTTAAATATAGGTTTCTTTCTTGATGCATTATCTAAGATCGTATATTTGTGAGTAGTCTGTCGTTACATAGTGAGAAGACCCCATATCCAACGTTAGTACCAAATCGGCAGTTCTTCTATTTTCATGAATATTGAGATTAAAGTAGCCTATTCCAATGCTACTTAATATTCTTTAATTTTCAGCCCGTATGTGAGGAGTCATCGAGTCGGTTTTCTTCATTCGTGCTATTCACCTCTAGTTCCTTCTATGTGGAGATCCTATGATCACGAGGACGAATCACGAAACGATGTCATAGAAATCGTCTTAAAGCTAAGACTTTTTTGTACAAATTTAATTCCTCTAATTTGATTCTTATACAATTTTTGTAGAATCATTATATTGAATATTATTACCAGATATGATTGGAAATGCATGTGTTTGCTTAGACTGTTGCTCCGTAATTTAATAATCATTCATATTTACAATTTGAGTTCACATATTTGAATCTATAGCATTTTAGATCATAATCCTCTTTGTCATTATCTGTGTAGCTGTCCTCACCCGTCCTAAGTTTAGTCACCTGTTCCTTCACTGTACTCTTCCTCCTGATGTGACTACGTAGTAGCTTTGGTTCGGTCTGGGCTTTATTAGCTATTCATTTTCATACCTTTTCTCAGCAGCTCTTATCACACTAACATCCTCGTTCCTGGTTCTCTGGTATCTCTCTCTACTTTCTGGTGTTCTGTTATCATGCGAGTTGCTCCATGCCCTTTTGCTCAGCTCCTTTGCTTTCATACATTCCATACATTTCATACATTTTTTCATACAAACATTATTAAAACACGGATTCTTTGTTTGCTTCTCGGTTTTTCCTGTCGGGCCGGGATAAACCTGCTTACAGCCTCCTGACACTTTTGGGTGACATACTCCATCGTGTCTTGTACGGATTGGTTCTGAGCTCTGTGTCCCATTGTATATCCCTTAGAAATTTATTCATCTCCTCATAGTTTCCTTTCGGTATGCCAGCCCTTTGTTTCCCAGTTCTTTTTGGGGGGAGATAATTCCCAGCTCAACCAGGTACTCAAAGCTCAATACACTATAATCACTCATTCCCAAGGAGGCTTCCAACTTAACTTTCCTTATATCCGACTCATTAAGGATAAATATCAGAACAAGCAAAGCTGCTTCATCCTCTCCTCTTATTCTTGTCGGTCCCGTGACGTGTTGACTTAGAAAGTTTCTTGTTGCCACTTCTAGCAGCTTAGCTCTCCATGTGTCCGGTCCTCCATGTGGGTCTCTGTTCCGCCCAATCTATCTTCCCATGGTTGAAGTCTCTCATAATTAGTAGTCTGGATCCGTTCCTGCTAGCCATAGAAGCTGCTCTCTCTCTATTATATTGATAGTGGCCATGTTGTTTCTATCATATTCCTGTCTGGATCTTCTGTCGTTCGGTGGGGGGGGGGGTTATATATGATTACTACTATAATTTTCTTTCCTCCAGTTGCTATGGTGCCTGACATGTAGTCACTGAAACACAGCTCTGATTTACCATCTCTTCAAAACTCCAACTTTTTCTTATCAGCAAAGGTACACAACCTCCTCCTCCCTCTTCTCTCTCTTTCCTCACTACATAGTAGTCCTGTGGAAACACTGCATTTGTTATGGTTTTCGTTAGCTTTGTTTCTGTGAGTGCTATTATGTCTGTTTTTTTTTCTAGTGCTCATTCTCCGAGTTCACTTGTTTTATTTGTAATCCCATCTATGTTAGTGTATATTGCCTTGAAGCTCACTTTCTTCTGTTCATTTTCTTGTCCCCTTCTTGGCGAGCATTCTGCTGGTGGAGAAAGCTGTTCCCTGGGTGAGAAGCTCTGTGAGGTGGTTTGCAGGGCCTCAGAGGATTTTGGGGTGGAGGGTGGGGGTTCAAGGGAAGGAGGGACAGGTAGGGTGTGGGGTTAGGAGATAGGGGGGACATTGAGGATATGGGGTGAAGGGGGGGGGGGAGGAGGGATAGGGAGTGTATGGGATGAGGAGGGAGG